ACTTGAAAATGAGCAGTTTTCCCATCTTTTTCGAACATTTGCCTTAATTTGATGTACAATCAAAATCAAATGATAAGTTAGAGAGTAGAACGTGTTCACCTTTCAGTAATCTCAAGTTGAAATGGTTAAGTTTTGTAAGAGAAGAACGAGATTTCGTGATGCAATTCAATTAAAAAAAAAATTTCTAATTTCTTTTACAATAAACGTATATGAAATTTATTATGTAATTATATAAGATTTTTTTGAGTTGCTTGCAAATTTCTATATCTTAATTGACAAAATCCATAATAAAATCAGCTGCATTATAGTATGAAGGTGCAAGGTAACCTAATGTAGCAAAAGAATCAACAATATTTTATGATTAACCTTGATAAAGAATAGAAGAAACTAGCTAAGAAATAATTTTATAATGTAAATAACCATATATCTACCATGCAAATCGTTTATCCATCAGGTAATAAAATAACGTTATCAAATGATCGAAAAATTTGGGATTATATTTAAAGAATCATTATCTTAATTGTCTTGTCTTTTGAAGCTAATTCACGAAGAACAACGATAAGAACTAAAGCTGATGTTGGTTCTATTTAAAGAAATCTATTGAAGAAAAGTTAAAATAAGAAAGAAAAACTCACCGTTAAGAACGATAACACATGCATTAATTATTTATTCTGCATCAATATTAACCTACGTTTCTTGTCTCGACGTGAAATAAGCATGATTAGATCATTAGTACATTTTTGAAGACATAAATGCCCAATAATCTGTTTAACTTAAAAAAATGTTAATCTTTACATGTTAAATGATTTGATAATCGAAGTAAATCTGTCTATGTCAATTATTGTTTAACAGTAAGTTTTTCAAAGAAAATCTATTCTTGTAAAATATAAACAAGTTTACGTTTCATACATTTCTCATATCATTGATTATTCAGTCAGATGTTTTCAGTAACACCATTTTATATACGATTCGATTTCATCATTGATTTCAAATCCATTTCGATAACTCCTACGTTACTATGATCATTAGTATTCGATGATAAAGTCACTATGTTAATACAACGAAAAATATTTGTAAGCAGTTTGTTTACTTGAAAGCTATCTATTTATACTGTGTAAATTGTATGTTTTTAGCACATCTTTTAGATAAAATTTCTTATTTATGCCTTCATTTCACATTCAAAGACAGCAGCCATTATAATCATCATTATTACATTCATTCTATTGAAAATTATGAAAATTAAATTTCAACAGCCGGAAACAGTTGGTTTTCTTTGATCATGTAACATATTTAGATAATAGTTTATTGTTTAATGATCTTTTAATATATACAATTCAAACTTATCAATTTCCCATTTGTGAGGGAAGTATTAATGATGAGACGAATTTAAATAGTACAATTATGTGTCATTGAATAATATTAAACCATTCGATATTCCACTTTATATATTTTATTATATTCATTTGTATATCTTTGGCATTTTAGAAAGTCTAATAAAGAATTTAGATAAATTTCTTCAAGTAATTTATATTATATGTTTATAAAATGATTGATTCAATTTAGTAGGACGACGGTAGATACTCAATAATATTATCGTTTTAATAATGTCAAACACATCTTTTTTTTTTTATACATTCTTTTTATTTTTGAGTCGTATTATTCTACCTGTAAACATATGTGTGACTCACACCACATAAAAGAAACATTACATAAACATTTTTATGGATGAAAGGCTTTCATTATGTTTGTTTACATGAGTACATACATACGAGTAGCTGTGAAATTTCATTGCATAATCTTTGTTTATAAGCTAAAGCAACAAAATAATTTTTGTTTTTATTAGTGATCGATAACGATAAGGATATCTAAAGTTCAAATAATTACAGTTTTTTACTACTTCAATCAAATAAAAGAAAAAAGAAAATAAATGATTTTTATCTCAAGAGATACTATAGTTTTTAACAAGTATTAAAATATTATTTTCATTATAGAAATACGACAGATCAATTTATTCGTTGAAAAAATCAACTATGAAACGACATCGAGTTTATTTAACATGTGTCATTTGTGAAGCTCCTACATCAGGTTATAATTTTGCTCGGGTTTCATGCCGTTCATGCAAAGGTAAGTGTACAAAACATATAAATTTCTAATTAAGTCATTGCTTACACGATTTATTGTATAGAATTTTTTCGTCGAAATGCTTTTTTGTCGATAGTATGTATTCATCTTTTTATTTAACCATAAAAATTGAATATTTCTAGGAAAAAATTAAATGTATTCGTAAAAACAATAATTCAATTAATATCCTATGTCAAATTCGCCATGATATCAAACCAAAATGTCAACGCTGTCGCCTACTGAAATGTTTTGAATCAGGTAAGAAAAAAACAAATCCTTCATTTCTATGCATGATAAATGACATTGTGATAAATGACTTTCGACAGTCGTTGGGGGTTTCTTATAATAATAAAAAGAAAATAATAAGGCATTGATGGTGAATTCGATGGACTTGTAAGAACGATTTGTTGCTTTTAGTATAAAATTGTTGGAATAATGTGAATAATTGATCATCAAAGTAAATTTATTGAGCCATTTACTAACTTCATTGATGAATCAGTTGTACATGATCTTAATTGTATTCCTAACAATCGTAAATTTATATCCTTCAAAATTTACTATAAATTTATGAATAGTGAAAAGAATACTTTTTCTTAAAAATAAGTTATTTTAAACTGTACAGATAATGACTTTTTCGAACGAAGAAATTTGTTTGTCTCGATGGAAAGTTTTGATGATAAATTTATTTATTGTTCGAGACAAAAAGAAAAGTCTTCCAGAACATAGAGAAAATTTTCTATTTAAGGATTACATCAATTCTAATTTATAATCCATTGATCGGAATTGAAAGAAGGAAAAATATTCCATCTTTAGGCTACCTTGTAATATAGAATACTGTCTGGAAGTAGGTTCATTAGCCCGATATCTTCCCTACAACTGTTATTAACTGTAGTTCTGGACAGAAGACCGGTCTGACACAGATTTCTCTTTTTCAACCGCTTTAGCTTTCCATACATACTGATTAACCATGTACTAATGTCTGTCCAGTAATAAGATGGCCGTGGGTATTTTTGTAATAACTTTCGATAGGAACAAGATAGAGACCTGGGATTTTCACCGTTCCACAGAGGACAAAGAGGGACATCGAGACATGCGATTTTCATTGGTCAATATATCGACGAATCAGATGAATTTCTTGATGGACATTATTAGGACAAGATTTTAAAGGTTAATTTCTGATATGATTTTGACTTGTAATACCACCATTCGATAGTAAAACTTGTTCTCTGTCGATCTACGCAAGGCAAACCTTGCTGCCTTGNTGATTAGCCTAACAGGACAAAAAATGTATTAAATTTGAAAAAAACATTAAAAATCGTGGTATTTCTCTGAAAAATGGGACCTTGCAACACTATGGAAAACTTTTACTTTTTTTTATTAAAGGTCTTGACTAGAAACATTAAAACGTATATATTCTTACTCAGCTCGACGAGCTCTATCTAACCGTATATAAGAAAACGAAAAACAGAAATTTGTTTTAATTTTGCATTGTTCGCACCTTAAGTGTTCTGAATTATTGGAATCGTTTTGATCAACTGAGATCATTACTAGTATTTAGCTTTGTCCTATCGTCAGTTAATTAGCTTTTGAGGTAAGGATATTGTCTGTCATGAATACACTATCTGTTACGCATAAGAACTAATTCTCTATCACCTATTTTACACTAATGTTTATAATAATCAAAAGATAGTTGTCTCTGATAAAAATCTATGAGTGATCAAAATTATATAACTTACTATTACTATAATGACTATCTAAAGTCATATTAATTACTATATGAAAAGAATGATCAATGGTAATAAAACAGTTTGACAGAGATAATTTCATAGAATGAGGACTGTTAAATAAACAATTCATTAAAGTAAAGAATAATTGGCATTAGATGATATAAATTATTCATAGTTGAATCAACAATAGAAAAATTGTTGTTGATATCTTGTAGGCTCGCGTAACGAATTTCTTCCGTTAGTTCCACGAAAATAAAATGTTTTCAAAAATTTAATGTAATAACCAAGGAAATATCCTTCTAAATACTATTATAAGTCCAAAATCATAGAAATGAAGCGCTTAATATTTTGAAAGAAAAGATCATAGAGTAAATGATTTTAATTGTGATTTAATTTCTACAATTGAAGAGTACAAATTATCATTGTGAAAATCTCGATGAAGAAACAATTTGTCATTCGTTAAAATCAAATATGTTTTGAGTTTCTTTTACTATTATTTAGCTCTGTTACAAAAATGGGTGAACAGTAGAATAAAAAATAAAAATATACAGGTACTCTTTGCTTTTTGTCCGAGGAAAACAGAACAGAAAGAAAAAAAAAGTTGCTTTTTCTCCACGATACTTGCAGATGCCTCCTGTTTTAAATGTGTCTTCATTGCTGTTGACGGTCAAAGTCTACTTTTTTTTCAAGTTGCATGTAAAAAGAAACACAAAAAAGGTAAACGTAGGCGACAAATCGTATAAAAAAAAAACAGTGATTTGCATGTTTGTTTCATTCAAAAATTTAGAATGTGTGAGTATCGAAAGAAATTGTTCAAATTAATTCCGATATTGATACATCTTTAGCATTTTTAATATTTGTTGTAAAATTCACTAATAAAAACACGTGATAAATAATATATTTTACATAGATTTCTAACAATATTTAAAATAAAAGTGACTCATCACTCAACTATTATACTTCCTACCACAACAGCTCACTACCTGATGAATTATTACTCATGTTATTTAGGAAGAAGCATGACACACCCCTTCTTTTTTTTTATTATTAGATATAACTTTTCATCTTAGATGGAAAGATTTAATTGATTTACTCGAATCAAATTTCTGTCATAAATACAACTGCCACATTTCACGTTTGAAAAATAACATCATGTTTCATCAGACTATATCGTATGTAAGAGGCTGTAATAATCCTCACTGTCCAGCACACTCTCGATTAGCGCAAATCATTAACCTGGAACTTCAATATACGGATAAAAAACATGATATAGAATTAAAAGCAAATGTTGAAAGTCCACTGGTAATTACCATTCGGGATGTTACACAAGATCTTTTAAATTTTCTTTACCTCGACGACATTCCTCTTGAAGAGGTTCGTCTTGTTCGATTTAGGCGCAACAATGATTGTTATCCATTGGACATAAAGAACACATCGAAGACACTACGAGAGTTATCTGTGACCGATGGTTGTATACTTTATTTCGAACCAATACCTAATGCAGCTCCACCAAAGCCATGCCAATTGACAATAAATGCACCAGATGAAAAAGAAAAAATTACATTTGAATGGTATCGAGCAAAAACAACACTGAGCATGCTTCTTGAATATGTTATCGAAAAATTTTCATTGCAATCAGTTGAACGCCAACGAATTCATCTTTTAACAATTTGCGATGAACTCAACTTACTCTCTTCTTCTGACAACAGATTAAGTGAATTAGGTGTTAGCGACCGCATGGCGATTTTTGTTCAGATCATTCCATCACTTTCATCGACAGTTACAAATGAAAATAAAGATGTTCATGTTGAATGCACTGATGATGATAAGAAATTTGTCATACACGCACCGACTACTGCAACAATTGGTGAATTAAAAATTAAAATTCAGAAACGATATGAAGATTATCATATTAATAACTTTCAATTGTTTAATCACATAAAGGATGAGATCTATACGAATGATACTAATCAAAATTTAAAATCGTTCGGTATTAAACCTGGTCAAACCATTTTTGCTACTATTCATATGACTGCTCAAAATATCCAACCAGCTATTGTAAATAATGAAAACAAAACCTCCAAACAGTTATCTTCATCATCAGCTACGACAAAAAATAATGATAAGATCATGGTCATTTGTACATTTCCATCGGGAAATTCTGAAACGATACAATCATCAGTTAAAGACACCATTGATGAGTTAATTAAAAAAATAGATAATTTGACACATCGTAAACGATTAGTTTTATCTGAAATATCTTCAAGTACAATTTCCTGTAAGATCAAACAAGGAAATGACACATCTCGACGTTTAGCTGATATAGGTTTCAAACCAGATGAAACTATATATGCCACCATAATAGATAAGCCTCCTACACATTCATCAATTGTAAGCACAGAAACTTCTTCATTATCCGATCAAGATAAACAACCGAAAACTAATAGCATCAACAAAAAACCTATTGGTTTGAATAATCTTGGAAATTCATGTTATATGAGCAGTGCACTGCAGTGTCTCGCTCATATACCACCATTAACTAATTTCTTTTTGGAAGGTCTTCGTCATAGTCACATGAACGACGGTGAACATACAGACAATGATTGGAATCCATATGATCAAGTAGGCGATGTAACGGGAGCGTATGCCGAGTTACTTTGGAATTTATGGAGATTTAATGATAGTGATGATAGTTACGATTCATTTAAACCTACTCGCATTAAAGAAATAATTGGTAAAAAGGAATTACATTTTGCTACAACTGATCAACAAGATGCTCAAGAATTTATGACTTTCTTTCTCGATGCTATACACAAAGAATTAAAAGAACAAAATAAAAAAGATAAAAATACCATAGTAAAACAACTCTTTTTTGGAGAAATGAAATCAATTATCACATGTACAAGATGTAATAAAGAAGAATCAATCAAAAATCCTATTAGTTTTTTGTCAATACCACTCAGTCGACAAGAACGGGTTTTTTGGATTAATTATATTCCAAAAACGGGTAAGGATGAAATTGGTATGGTGTATGTGCCTATCAGTGGTCAAGTTGGACATGTTGTAGAAATATTCGTTAAGCGTTGTGAACGACCTGAGCTTTTCTACTATATACTTGCTATGTTACCTGATGGTGAACTCGACTTTAAAACACCAGTTAGTCATATACCTCATGATGAAATCATATTAATGGAGCGAGACGAACGTTTAGATAATATCCTACCTGAACGTTTGGAAATATCCACGAAAATGTTGACCCTTGAAGATTGTCTTCAACAGTTTCTCTCACCGGAAAAACTCGAAGATGAATGGGCGTGTCGACAAGAAAAATGTAAAAAAAAGACGACAGCTATTAAACGACTTGAACTTTGCACGCTTCCGCCTGTATTAGTTATTCAATTCAAACGATTTTCGCATGAAAATGGTTTACATCAAAAAATCGAAACTTTTGTTGATTATCCAATAGAAGGACTTGATTTAAGTGAGTTCTTACCATCTTCCGAGAACGAAACTATTTATGATTTAATCACAACTTGTAATCATATGGGAACGATTTCTGGAGGTCATTATACAGCGTATGCTAAACATCCCTTATTGAATAGAAATGATTGGTACAAATTCGATGATTCGAGTGTCACACGTGTAAGATTTAATGATTTGGAAAATGAAATTGTGTCGCGAGATGCCTATCTTCTAGTTTACATTAGAAGAGATATTTTAAATACAGTAACAACAGTATAACACATATCACATTACACAATGATTATACTATACTCGATTAAGCAAGACTTTTTAAATAAAATTTGTAGAACAATATTGTCCCGCAGTCCTTTTTTGTTCATTTTTCTCTCCGATAAAAGAAAAATCAATAAATATTTTTAAGATCTTTTGTGCATATATAAAATAGATATGTGATTTCACGAGGTTTTTTCTTTCAGATTCCAAGACATTACCCTATATATACATGAAAAGATATTAAAAAGTCTGATTGACGATAGATTACTATTGAATTTAGATTGGTTTTTCTTACACATACTCATTTAGCAGCGTAGTATCGATTATGTGAGTACAAATAAAATTAGATTACATTTTGGAATTGTTTGAGACTTTCACAAAGACGTATATTTAGTTAAACAAAAAAGAAATACATATTCGAAAATTGTGAATACTTTTCACTAGGAAAAGAACTGTGTTTTTTGGTAATATCTCTAATACTCTTCCTTTTAAGAGTCGCTAGAAACGATTTTTTATTATGGCAAAACAAACTGTGCGTCCAACATGATTCTATTTATTACTGAATCTACATTTGCAGTTAAAAAGATATTTTTCTTCGATGTAAAACTTCATATAAATCAAATATCCCTACATATTCCATGCTGAGTCTCAATAAACAAATTTTATGTTCGCTTAAATAGATCTATTTTTTTATAGTGTAATAGAAGAAAAAATGGAAAAAGATCGTTAAAGACAAGCTACAAGATTATCATCTTGTTAATCATGATTATTTCATTCTACTTCATATTGCATATTTATATTGCATATGATGTTCAAAGAAACCAGGAATTTAAATTTCAGTCAATCACCATAGATGAAACAAAAGTCGCACTCCTCGCTGTCCTAACATGTATAACAACAAGTCTGTTATGTTTTCTGATCTGATATTGGTGATTATTATATTTGTCATCATTACAGATGTCGGTATGACAGAGCTTGTACCAGAATCTCTTTGACCACATTTAAGTCCAACATCGAGTCCCACACTAAACCCAACAGTGGCTGTAACAGCAACAGAAGTGATAGTCACTATGCAAGAATCGATCATTGGTATTCTAGAAGCACCAACGTCTTGCACAGAGCAGCATATTATGTACTAGGTGACCCTGCAAAAACTTTTCATATATGACTTCTTTTCAGGCTTCTCGAATTGAAAAGAGATTGAGATTGTGTAAGGCGCACGTCGATTGATTATCTGTAATGGACATGATCGAAAGAAACAATTTGATGTTCGTCAGTTGTGTGCTGAATTATGACAGAGAGCACGTATGTTCAGAAGTATTCAGTTGCCAAATCATATTGTTGCATAAAGATAAGTGTCAGAGAATGAAATCATTATTTTGATGCCTTCTATAAACTTCGTTACAAAACACTGTTTGTATGAATTTTCAAACAAAGTTTTAATAGACATAAGCGTTACATTTATCATCCAATTCAAAACATAAGCAAATATTCTCAAAGCATCGTTTCTTAATGAAGAAAATGATTAATAAACACCATTGTCCAGCACGTTCTCATACAGGTGAGATGCTGCCAAAAAAAATGGGTACTTTACTTTCACCTAGTTCTGCCGATGAAAATATAACTGACATGTTTGTAGTGATGTAAATCATATTTCATTCGTTTCATGTGCATTTTACTAGTTCTGATCGAAACTTTTTCGGATTCTGTAAGTTTTGATCCCTTGACAATTTCAGAACTTATACATCAATCAAAAATAAGAATTTATTAACTGGTGCTAAAGAGATCTCGAGCAACTCACGGAATTCTCAAAACCAAAGAAACTCCAGGACCTTACAGTACTCATAACACTCATGGAAGCCAAAAATCATTGGAATCCAAGAAATTGATGAAACTCATGGAGGACGTCTATGTGCGATTGTAAATGCTGATGTGTAGTTGTGTGCATAATTGTTGTCATGGTTCTGGATATGTCTGATGGTGAAGTGAAGATCTAGATCCACAAATCTACAGCTTCTCATAATTCTTCGAATTTTTTCGCTTTTTTCGCATATTCAGAGTTCCTTGTATCCCTTGAATTTGGTTTGTTCCTTGACTTTCTGCTGTTCTTTGAGTCTCTTGAGTTTGAAGAGTTTCTTGACATCAGTGGATTTCTTCAACCCCGTGAACTCTTCATTTTCTGTGATTTTCGCGAGTTCCGGACACTTTTCATTTGTCGGACCATGGAATAAAGTGAATTTCAAATTAATTATTTTCTAATATTCATGTACTTTCGGATAAGCACTTATAAATAAAGTAGAATATCTAAGGTCAGGATTGTAGTATAGCCTGAAGAAATTGGTTCTCAAAAATTTTGACTCATTCGAGAGAAAAACGCTAATTACTCGAAAAAAAACAGAAAGTGTACTGATATACATATGAAACTTGTCGTAACTCGCCGTGTAATCGATTCCAACAAAACCAGTCACAATTTCAGTCAGGGCTCGACGAGCTCGATAACTTTCACATATCATTCATCTGAGCGAATGAAGAAAAGATCTATAGTCAAACACCCCTAAATTATCACACAAAAACGATACACATAAGATGAAAATCTACTTCATAATTACTCAGAGAAAAATTGGCAAACAAATTTTTACATTTTGCATTAACTCAATGCGAAAAATGTTCAAAAAAACAACAAATGGCCAGACTTTCGAGAACTGTTTAAAAATTGTCTGATAACAGATGTAGTGTTCTTCCTCTCAGTACAGTGATAAAGAAGTCATATTGAGGAGCTTAATTCATTTGATGAATCACCTTTTTCTGTCGATGAGTAAGTATTTGAAAAGTTATTAGATTCCATTGGAAAACTAAACTTTAAGACGATTTGGGTAGATAATTTTCGGCTATTGTTGCACTCGAAAATAGAATTTCTTTCATCTAATGAAACGTACCCATTCATGCTTACAACTTTAGCTTTTGAAATTTGAATTAATAATATACTGTTAAATAAATTACCGTTTTTCCCGTGACTTATATGTTCTCCTGTTTCGTTTGTTTTACTTTTGTTCAAGTAATTATTTGCTATGAGCGGTGTGATCATTATGAAATTACTCTATCAAGTATTGGAAGTCTTTAGTGTTAGAAAAAAAAATTGATATTTTTATAGGACGATCACTTCCATGTGAAATATATATGAAAACTACCAGTATTTCAAGATTTTCATTATCAAAAGTTAATTTTTATGGAAACGAAATATGATATTCTGAATCTTTATGCAAATATGCAACAAAAACTTTATATTTCTTCGTAAAAGTGTTTCATCAAAATTTGAACGGTGCGATGTCAAAAGTAAAATTAAAGATACAAAAAAAAATCCCGGGTGTGCAATGTGTCAAATATTGATGGAAAATATTTTATGAAGAAATATAATTTTTGGTAGAATTTTCAGACTGATTCAAAGTATCATACTTGTTGCCGATAAAAGTTAACTTTTCGTAATGAAAGTCTCGCAATACTGGCTGAATTATTTCTATTTTCTATGTAGAAAAGGCTATATTCGAAAAAATATATATGAGCTTTTTTTCGAATGATAACAATGTTCAATATGTGATTTAACGATTGAATATAACCCGACTATTTTCGATACAAAACAGCTTGTGTCCACTCTCTTGAGAGTACGAATTACAATGATAGAGATTATCATGATTTTAGATTTTTTTAACATTATTTGATACACCATACTTAAGTACATTTGTAGTACAAATTTTATCTCTTAAATTATATTTGTTGAAGTTACAGGTTAAATCATATTTAAAATGTAATAAAAATTCGTATTTAACAGGATAAACTTTATCAAAGACAACACTACGTTGCTATGAAATCTATGTATTGGATTGATTCTACTTTCATTTTCTAGAGAATCTTTGTTTAAGGATTCAATTCAAATTTGGTGCTTATTTATGCAAATATAGGGAGACAAAAATAATAATATAATAGAAGAGTCAATATCTCTTGAAAATGACTCTTCGATAACATATTAAGTTATATTTTGCTGTGACTGAAAAAATTCTAAGATCTGTGTTTTACTGATTCTATATCTTTACATCACCTTCAAAAGAAATCATTGAACAGAGAAAAAATTGCCGGATCAAGAGGAAAGACATTAGGAGAGGGTCCATAAAACCACCACCCAAACGAGTTGCTGAAAAATTTTAAATTTTGAAATGAGTTTGCTAGTTTGAAAGAGCATGAAAAGTTACTCTGAAAAACAAATTTTTACAATTTTTTGGCAAAGCCTTCGAATATTTCGATGATCTATAAATTTTGACCCAAACTATCGATCTATCAAAAGCTATAGTTTTTCGATCATTATGTTTATGAAATTTTTGATCAGAAAAAGTTGATCGAAACCATTATCAAATTGTACCAATCGATAGAGCGGAAGCTGCTCTACAAAACCTTAGATCTCCTAAATGTTATTATATGCCTTCTAAAACGAAAACATTCAATATAATAGATGAAATNATATCCAAAGTAATGACCTGATTCTTCACAGTGGAATGTCGGATCTTCATAGCAATATAAAAACCCCACAGCTCGATAGAAACTCTGATATTGACTATCGTTCTCATCGGTACGATCTGAGCAGTCGGAATTCTGTGGTTGGTCATTGAAAAACTCAGCTGGTATGCACATACCATTGTGGCATCGATACTCGTCGTCATTGCACTCGTTTTTTTCCAGTTTGAAACAGTTTTTTTCGTCAACGCCATCATTCAAACAGTCGATTATTCCATCGCATACTTTACGCCAATCGAGACAGAGAGGTAGCGGCCCTCGATTACATTCAAGATGGACCAAACATGTCAGATTTGTGAGGGTGTGGGTGTGGGTGTGGGTGTGGGTGTGGGTGTGGGTGTGGGTGTGGGGTGTGTGGTGTGGGTGTGGGTGTGTGCTGCTCTTCTATTTATCCACACCCACACCCACACCCTGAAATAATTTGTTAATCCAGCTTTTGAATT